ATTATAAGCAAATTCAACGTGCAGCAAACACTCTTCCCAGTTCTTCACGTTCTTTTGAATAATAGAACGCAATAAGGTTGGCAACGTCCTATTAACCACTTCTGTTTGTCCATTAGTTTGTGAATGATAAGTAGTCGAAAACAGTAGCTTAGTTCCCAGCTTTCCCCACAATGTCTTCCAAAAGTAACTCAAGAACTTGACATCGCGATCAGAAACGATAATCCTTGGAATGCCATGTAAACGAACAGCGTCCTTGAAGAATAGATCCGCAATATTGGTTGCATCGTCAGTTTTATGACATGGAATGAAGTGTGCCATCTTCGAGAACTTGTCAACAACAACAAAAATAGAATTGAAACGATAGTCCTTGGAATGCCATGTAAACGAACAGCGTCCTTGAAGAATAGATCCGCAATATTGGTTGCATCGTCAGTTTTATGACATGGAATGAAGTGTGCCATCTTCGAGAACTTGTCAACAACAACAAAAATAGAATTGTGGCCTCTTTTTGACCTTGGTAAGCCCAAAACAAAATCCATAGATACATCAACCCAAGGTTTAGTAGGTATGGGTAAAGGAGTATACAAACCATGTCGTAAAACTCTACATTTTGCTTGTTTACATGTTATGCACCTTTCACAGATCCTTTCAACATCACGTTTCATGTGTGGCCAAAAGAAGTGATCATTCAAAATATCTAAAGTTTTTCTAACTCCAAAATGTCCCATTAAGCCTCCCGCATGATATTCCCTTACTAACAATTCTCTTAAGGAACAGTTAGGCACGCATAATTGATTTTCTCTAAACAAGCACCCTTCATGCCTATAAAACTTATCAAAAGCAATCTTCTCACATGCATTAAACATGTTAGTAAAATCTGGATCATTAGCATATAATTCTTTAATGTGCTCAAAACCTAATAACTTTGCACTTAAGGTAGAGATAAGTGTGTACCTACGAGATAATGCATCAGCCACAATGTTTTCCTTTCCTTGCTTATACTTGATCACATAGGGAAACGTCTCAAGGAATTCCACCCACTTAACATGTCGTCTATTCAACTTACCCTGTCCCTTCAGGTGCTTCAACGACTCATGATCAGTATGTATCACGAACTCCTTAGGCCAAAGATAATGCTGCCACGTCTCTAAAGCTCTTACCAATGCATACATCTCCTTGTCATAAGTAGGATAGTTAAGTGTTGCACCAGTCAATTTTTCATTGAAAAATGCAATAGATTGCCGTTCTTGCATCAAAACAGCACCAATGCCAATACCTGATGCATCACATTCAATTTCAAAAGTTTTAGTAAAATTAGGTAGAGCAAGTAACTGTGCAGAAATTAAATTTTCCTTAATTAAATTGAAAGCATTCTCTTGTTCAATTTCCCACTTAAATCCAACACTTTTTTTCACAATTTTAGTCAACGGTGCTGCAATTGTGCTGAAATCCTTGATGAATCTCCGGTAGAAACTCGCCAAACCATGAAAACTCCGTACCTTAGAAATATTTTTAGGTGTCGGCCATTCTTTAACAGCCTTAACCTTTTCTTCATTTACTGCGATTCCATCAGCTGAAACAACATACCCTAAGAAAACAATCTGATTTGTGCAAAAGGAACACTTTTTAAGGTTAGCAAACAACTTTTCTTTTCTCAACACCTCTAGTACCATTCGCACATGCTCAATATGTTCAATTAAATTCTTGTTATATATCAGAATGTCATCAAAATAAACAACCACAAATTTGCCAATGAAAGCACACAAAACATGATTCATTAATCGCATGAATGTACTAGGCGCATTAGTTAATCCAAATGGCATAACTAACCACTCATATAAACCATGTTTCGTTTTAAAG